TCAGTAACATTTATTTGCGGATAACATCAAAGGATTCATTTGTTTACCTCGTATGACGGAATTATGTTTCATTCATAACATCTTAATAAGGAGGAGATTGAGGAGCGTCGGTAGCTCAGTGGTTTGAACACTTGACTTGTAATCTACAGGTCTTGGGTTCGAAACCCGCCATGTACCAATGTGATTTTCGATTTTTCGAATTTTCATATGTACATAATTTACCCGACGTTCTTCTGAACGTATTACGTAAGGGGACGTTAACCATTTAATTTCATCTGCGGCTTCGTCTACGCGAGATTGAAAAACATTACGTAACTTTTTCTCTATTTGAAACTTTATTTCCTTAGGCATCACTAAGGGGATGGTACACCTACTCGAAAACTGTAAAATATAAACGTCAAAGATAACAATACGCCAAATTTCCTTATTATCGTAAGATTACGCTCTTCTGAGTATTGTTGACAGTATATTTAATGCACTTTGCACTCATTATCAGTTCTATATGACTAACTACTATGTTATGGTATTTGCGGCTGTCTACTTTTGATTGACGTCTCTACCATACCATGACGTAGGATTTGCATAACAATATTACGCGTAAGTGGAATACACAAGGTAAATAAATAATTAGTTTATTGTTCAATAAACATTTATCCTGTTAATGTTGGAATGGGGAATGAGGACATGGGATAGATCTCCTGTAACAGTCATTAGCTTTCGTTCTTCTTTTGTTTGACTATTATATAATAACTAGTTGTCCCCGTGCGGCTTCATCCACATGAAATGATGAAAATTTTATTTTATTGTTTACATTTGTCAAATTAGCAATAGCAAATGTCAAAACGACATGACATTACAAACCTTGGCAATCTTGCTTCTTGATGTTGGCAGCAACATATGATCTCTTTACCACATTAGGGTTTTTATCCCTAAGTTTAATGGCGTGAAAATATATAGCCTAAAGCGTGACGTAAGTGTACGGCTTTTTATTTAAAAATGAATTATTTAAAAATATGCTGTAATTGCTGACATCTTAGGCAACAAAGAAGTGTGTGTTTACGCTTTATTATAATAGTATAAATGTAATCCAGTACAAAGTAAAATGAAAACATCTTTTTTTTAATTCTATGTAATTCTCTACGCTTCTATCGGCCGAATACTCAACGACAATTCGCTTGGCTAAGCCGCTTACTGTCTAACAGACGTTAAAATTTTAATTAAATTTGTAGATGATCAACCTTATCATTTATTATGATGTTACAGTGGTAGTGCCCGCTTTAAC